AAATATCCATACTCCTAAACAAATAGCTGCATGATCAGACATGCCACCTCCCACGTTCCTGCTCCTGTTACTATGAATCACTGGAGCCAATGTTTGTTGCAAAATGACTCAGACTTTACTCACAGCTCTGGGTTTTATTAGGGAAATAGGTTGGGGGAAGGGTGGAGGAGACAAAGGATATCACATAGTAAAAGTCCAGGTTTAGTGAACAGCAACCCCAAGCCAGAATAAGAGTTAGACTCAATTAATTCAGACACTTCTCAGTCAACAAGTGACTTGGTTCATTTCAGAAGCACAAATAAACCTCTGGTTCCCTCAATCATGCAACAAGCTTTGCCTCATAGCAGTCACAAGTCAGCTCTTCATTCAGTCATTCAGAAGCAAAATCTTTAACTTTCGCTCCATCTCCAGTATTCTGTCGGGCTATACCTTGCCACAATCTCTTCATAGTCCCTCCACAGTCTCTTCATAGTCTTGCCACAGTGTGGAAAGTACTCCCTCTTTCTCTCTCTCTCTTTAAAATATATATATAATACTGGTTTGTTTATGAGAAAGCACTCTCTCTTATATTGGTCCCACAGCTGTTGATGATTTGCAAGACCATGTGTCTGCAGTTCAGGTAGCTGGGGACCATGTCTGGGGTGTGTGTGTGAGTGGGGGGGGAGCTGAAACAGTGGATAGAAAGGCCAATTTTAAAGTCATTTACTGACATCACAATATTCTTAAAAGACATTAATCTTTTACTTTTCTTGTTTTGTTTTTGTCTACTTTTGTATCAAGGTAATTTTGGTATCTTAAAGGAAGTTGAGAGATGCTACTTCCTTATCTTTTATTCTTAGTGAAGAAGTTGTAAGGATTGGTAATGTTAATGCTTTAAGTGTTTGGTAGAATTCACCAGTGAAACCATATAGGACTTAGTTTTTCTTTGTGGTAGTTTTTAAATTATTAATTTGATCTTTTGCTGTTGTTGCTAAAGTTTTGGTCAGAGTTTCTATTTTTTTTTCTTGAAAGTTTTCACATTTCTAGGAATTTCTTCATCTCATCTAAGTTATTTAGTATGTTGGCATATATTTACCTATAGGATTCCTTTCTATTTCTGCTAAGTCTGGTGCTCTTGCTCCCTTTTCCATTCCTAAGTTTAGGAATTTGAGTCTAGTTTTACTCCCCTAGAGAACTCACTCTAAGATAGTATCTAATTCAATTCCTTTATGCTTAGGGAACTTTATACTATTTCAATCCTTTTGACATTTTTGAGACTTATTTTATGAGACAATCTTATCTGTTCATGAAGCCTTATTCTATATCTGTTGAAAGTTTCCAGGTGAATGCCTCAAAGGAACTTCAAATTAACATCTTTAAAATCATTCTTATAACTCTAACTCCCCTAACCATTGCTTTTCCATTATTTCCCTTCTTAGTGAAGACATCATTATCCTATTAGTTACTCTAACCAGAAATTCAAGATCATCCTGCAAATCTAAAACATCACTTTATCTGGTTGATTTTACATTCTACAAAATTCTAGAATACATCTACTACTCTCCATCTCTACTGCCAAATAAATAAGGTCTTATACTTTTTTTAGAGGGACTACAGAATTTTCCCTTATCCAGGCTATTACTGTCTGTTACGGTCTGAATTGTGCCCTTGCCCCCAAAACATACTGTAAGTCTTAATCCTTATACTTGTGGTTGGTACATTGCTGAAACTATTTTAAAATTACCTTTAGCAAAATATTACTCAAGTGTGATATTAATAATATTGTTTGATGATTTCTCTATTACATTTTAGAGTAGCACATCAACATGGAGCTGCCAAATATTCAAGCTGGGTTTGTAAGAGGATGTGGAGTAAAGGACATTATTACTGATGAAAGCAGAGAATATCAGAAGGATATTTATGTGTACTTAACTGATTAAGCAAAGGCATTGAAATGTGTGGATCATAACAAATTAGGGATAATATTATGATCAACACATAATTGTGCTCATGATCAAACTGTATGTAGACCAACAGGTAGTCATTCAAACAGGTAGTCATTCAAAAAAGAATAGGGATACTGTGTGGTTAAAAGTCAGGAAAGTTGTGTGTCAAGGTTATATCTTTTCATTATACTTATTCAAATTTGTACACTAAGCAAGTAATCAGAGAAGCTTGACTATGTGAAGAAGGACATATGGAGAATATATGAAAGATTCGAGAAAGATTCATGGGTGAACTGAAATATGCAGATGACGGAACATTGCTTGCTTAAAGTGAAGAGAACTTGAAGCACTTACAATGAAGTGAAAAGATTTACTGTCAGTATTACCTCTCAATATTATTGTTGTTGTTAAGTGCTGTAGAGTCGTAGACAACCCATAGCACCCCTATGAATGAAAGTCTTGAATACAAAGCTTTCATCTTTTCTCCAAGTTCCTAGAGTTTCCTGAGGCAAGCTTTTCTGGAAGTGGAAACCACTCCTGCTTCCAAGTATGTTTAATTCGGGAGATTCACAAAACCAGATCCGAGGGCCCAAAAGCCTTTTTAAATACGAGGCCAAATCCAATCAGCTCATATGCTAATGTGATGAATAGCCACACTCTAGTCTCAACCCCAAAACAGAAAATATACTTTTAGAGAATCTGGCTATTCTGCTCATCTTCCCAGCTTGGAAATAGCCCCAGACTGGCTGCTAAAAGCTTTTTTAATATAAGGCTGAATTCAATCAGCTCATACTTTAATGCGATCAACAGCCACACGCTAGTCTCCACCGCAAACAGAAAATACACCTTTGCAGAATCCAGCCATTCTTCTTATCTTCCCAGAGTAGAAACGGCCCTCCTTGTTGCTGTCATTGTGTACAATTAAGTCCGAACAGACTCATAGCTGACCCTCCAGCAAGTTTTCAGAGGCACTAAATCACACAAGACACTGCCCATCCTTCTCCTGTGGAGCAGCTGGTGGATTTGAAATGTGTGCCTTTGGCATTACAGTGCAGCTTCTTACCACTAGGCCACCAGAGATGGCTATATTCCTTATTAATACGTAAACAATCCATCACTTGGGTGAATTCTGCTTCACAGTGGTAGGAAGACCAGACAAAGGATCAAAAAGGGACACTGCTATGAACACTTGGCCTCCACAAGTGAGTTTTTCTTGTGGTAACTTTTCTGAAATCTCCTCCTTAATAGCTCAAACATAAGAAGGATCGTGAGGCACCACATAAAGAAAGTAAAAATCCTCACAAGCATCATGATAAACCCAGAAAATACAGAAGTTTGGATTTCATTTTACTTAAATCCGCAGTCAATGCCCATAAAAGTCACTGCTATTGAGTTTGAATTGACTCATAGCTGACCCTCCCGCCTATTTGTGGGAGGCTGTAAATTGTACAAAAGGAGATTTCCCATCTTTCTTCTTTGGAGCTGTTGGTGGATTTGAACCACCAGAGAGGTGCCATCTTTGGATTAGCAATGCAGCTCCCTATGGACTACACTACAGAACTCCCAGCCTATAGAAGGAACAGTGAAAAAAAGAAAAGAAAATGACATATTGTGTTGGGCACATCTGCTTCAAAAGATCTCTTTACAGTGTTAAAAAGCAAGGATTTCACTTTGAGGTCTAAGATGTGCCTGATCCAAACTATAGTATCTTCAATCACTTCATATGTAAAAAGTGGACAAAGACTAAAGAAGAATTGAAGCCTTTGAAATGGCAATGTTAGTGAGGAAAAAAATAATATATCTTGAGTGGCCCAAGTTATCAAACAAGTCTGTTTTGGAAGAAGTGTAGCTAGACTACTTCTAGGAAGCAAGGATGGCAAGACCTTTATGGACCATTTGGGGGATTTGCTCTTTAAAGGCAAGGATGGTGAAATTTGTCTCAAAGACTTTGGACATATGATCAGGAGGTAGTTAAGGACATCATTGGTAAAATACAGCATCAATAAAAAAGAGGAAGGCCTTCAACAAAATGAATTGACACAGTGGCTGTAACAATAGGTTGGATGAGAGCAACAATTATAAGGATGGTGTAAGGCAGGACAGTGCTTTGTTCTGTTGTGCATATGGTTGCAGTGTTGTCAGAGATGACTTGACAACACATAATACAAGAAAGCAAGACAACATTTATATAGGAACTACTAATTGGTTTCATAGCTTCTACTTTTGTTCACTTCCCAAATTGTAGCCGGTTTCTACTCTAAGATATAAATATGCTCTTCTTTTTGCTCTAGATCCCACTGAATTAAGGACAAACTCAAATCCCTATGTTGCTGTTGTTGGGTGCCGTCCAGTTGACTTAGATTTACAGCAAATCTGTGAACAACAGATTAGAGCTTTGCCCCATCCTGTGCCACCCTCACTCTCTCTGTCTCACTCAAGTTGGGATCACTGAGTCAGTTCATCTAATGGAGGATCTTCTTGTCTTTTCCTGGTCCTCTTTTCCCTTCCTGACAACATGCCCAAAGTATGTGAGATGAAGTTTCACCTTCCTTGCCTCCAAGGAGTGAATCTCCGCATGGCCCGTGAAACCCTGCATGGCCTGGCTCCTGTTGACCTCTGTCACAGGACATCTCTTTTTTCTCTAGCCTTCCGTCACACTATCTTGCCTTCACTTAAACACTCCCCTTCCTCTTGCTACATGGACTTTGTATAGGCAGTTATTTCTGCCTGGATCTTTCTCTTCTCCTTTTACTTAGTTAACCTATTGGTCTTTGAATTCCCTTCAAACCTCATTACCTCAAGTACATTTTCCCACTGGAGTTGTTATTTGGGTCTGTGCATGTCCACTCATTTGTGTAGCTCCTTGATTAATGCCAGTCTCTTGCAAGCTCTGTGAGAAGAGAATCCTGTCTGTGTGCATTCACTGTAGTGGCCTGGCCCCTGGCACACAGCACATAACAGAGAGAAGCTAGTGACGATTTGCTGATCACAAAGATGAATCCCCTGTCCTAGCCTCAGACTCCACTTTGGGTCCCTCCTCATCCCTGATTTCGAGCAAAGCCAGGCCACACTCACCTCAGAATCTCCAGGTGACAGTGAGGGTGTCTCAGGGCCTCACAAAGGCTCTGAACCACTGAGCAGCTAAGGGGGTTTCCGCTTAGGTCCAGTTCCTGCAGGCTCTGAGTGACTCCAAGAATAGCGAAGAGATCCTGCCAGCAGGCATCTGTGACTAGGGCGGATCGGAAGCTGAGGGAAGGAGGAGGGACAGGAGACACACGACACATGAGTGTGAGGATCTGCAGTAAATACTCACCCTGGTGGGGCTCTGCCATCCCATCAGTCCCCCCATTCTGGGACTAACCAGTTGGCTTTCCCCACACTACCATCCTGGGCTAGGTCTCTCATCTGTGCATCCCATCATTACACAACTGACCCTTACCATAGCATGCTGACATGTTTATTCTGTGGTTCTCTTTCTGCTTCTGTCTTGGAGTTTGAGGACAGTGGCAGATCCTGTTCTATTTTTTCCTCTCTAAACTTTATTTAGGGAGCTCTGGTGGCTTAGTGGTAAGGAGTTGTGCTGCCAACCCAATGGCAGACAGTTCAAATCCATTAGCTGCTCCACCTCAATGATGGGCATTTTCCTCCTGGGTGATTGACTGTCTCTGAAAATCTGCTGGCGGCTGAGCTAGGAGTCAACTCTGACTCTATGGCAATAAGTGAGCAAGGTCCACATGTACTGAAACCTCTGACTGTGCCTTGAGCCTCCTTCTAGAATCCATTTGCCACCACCCATTCCAAACTTTCTTGTCCCGGCCTGATGTTCTATTGCTTCTCCCCTCTTTTGCCTCTGTGCCACTGAAGGGCACAGGCACTTCAGAAGATCCCAGGTTAGGTCACTAACAACACCTGTACCAAGGTCGTTCAGGGCTTAGTTCAGAGTTATAACCAAAACAAACAGAAACAACTTAAGTATCCAAGAATAGAGACCTGGTCAAATCAGAGGTGGTATCTACTCCTTAGGAATGACACGTGATCATTCAAAATGATGTTGTGTTAGATTATTTAATGAGAAGGAAACCTTGATAAAATAAATTAAAGTCTGCTAAAGCTGGAATGTGTTAAGAGAGAGACCTGTCAGAGAAGGAAAATACAAATATTTTCCGCCTAAGGAGAGCAATAGAACAGTGATAAGATTATGCCCTGTTAAAAGCAGAAAACTTTCATGTTCCAGAAAAACAAGGCAGTCACATTTAGTTCTGGCTCTCACAGGTTTCACTGTATATCAATACAATAAAGTTGCTTATAAAATAGATTTGTTTGTATTTTATCACATTTTTAAAATGGAAACAAAACTGATAGTAAAATGCTATACAGCGGGAAAAAATACTATACAGGCATGGTTTAATTTTGCCAAAGAAATGAACCACCAGACATGTGCCACCTTTGGGTTAGCAGTGAAACTTCCTACAGACCGTGCCCCCGGAGACCACAGGTACAATGAGGGAAATGCTGCAAAGTCTGCACCATCCCCTTGATTGGCCGAGGACTGGGACTTTGCCATCCGTGCAGTTTTCATTGGCTAGTTTTCATAAGTAGAGCATCAGGCTTTTCTTCCTAGTCTGTCTTAAATTGGAAGTTCTGTTGAAACTTGTTCAATAAATAGCACAGTAACACATAAGCTTCTGCTGACAAGCAGGCGGTGGTGGTGCTCGAAGTGCATTGGCTGGAAAGCAAACCTGCGTTTCTCTCATGGAAAGTAATAATTCTACTACTGTCCCATCTGCAAATGAGGAGCAAGATGGGTCAGGGTGGTGGTGGGAGGAAGTGCAACCATTCTGGAAGGCTGTTTGGCGCTTTCTCAAAAATCTGAACATAGAAATTTCATTGCACCCAGCCATTCCACTACTTGAAATATAGCCTGAGAAAATGAGAACTTGGGCAAAACCTGAGATTTGTACAGCAATATTCATAGCAGCATTATTCACCACTGCAAGAACATGGAAACAGCTTAAATGTCCAGCCACAAATGAATGGATTGAGAAATTATGGTACCTTCACACAATGGAATACTATGCAGCACACAGGAGCAATGATTTTGTAAATTACTACCTAACTTGGGAGGGACTGGAGAGCATTATGCTGCGTTAACTAACTCAGTCCCACAAAGATAAATATTGTATAAAGCCATTATTTTGAGTGAGTACAGGATCCAAGAGGGGCGGAAGATGGTGGAAGCAGAGGTATGAGGATGTGCAGGGGGAGGAGGTATTAATCATGGAGTTGTACAATTTGATGGGTGGGGGGGACTAGGGAAATGGAAAGAATTTGTTCTTGAAAATGATGTATTCGAATTTTGTATATAAACTAGTTGTTGTTGTTGTCTTTGAGTTGAGCATGACTCTTAGCGACCCTATGAACAAAAGGTCTGAAACCCCTCTACAACTATTGACATTTATCAAAGTTCATAGAGTTTCCAGAAGCATATTATTTAGGAAGTGGATGACAAAAAATCCCAAAGGAGAAAAACAGCTATATTATCAATATTGCAAACTGGAGGACTTCTGGATGGGGAAGTTAATAGTGTTGTGTGAATTGCAAGGATGGCTTAGAGGAAGCCCTTCTATTGTATTCAGACCCAGTGCCTGCATCAGTGGTGGCATCACAAACGAAAGCAAAGGAGCCAGTTTTGCAGAAAAAGTATGGATCCTTTTCCAGACATGTGTTCTATTTCTCTATCAGATGGGTTGACCTTTCTGTATTCCTGCAGCATTAACATCATAGAATTTACAACATCAGGATGGTCACATTATACTGAGGATTATGGTCACATTCACATACAATAATAGTACACTCCTAATCTCTGCTCTTAGAGACCTCAGAATGTGGAGGCGAGAACACTCAGCCAAATATGGGGGAGATCTAAGGGCCCATGTCATTCCCAACACCTATTCTCATCAAGGGGATGCCCAAAGAGCTCAGAGGACAATTTTGTTTTTACAAAAATAATGTCATAGGGTCGCTATGAGTCACCTACAACTTGATGGCACTCAACAACTACAACAACAATGGCAAGGTTATAAGAGTTCTCTATCTTCATATTTTTAATGCTTAATATGGCTAAGGCATGCAGTTCGAGGCCACCAGTCCTTCCACGATGGACAATCTCTTTCCGTGAGATTAACTGCCTCTGAAAATCCTCCAGAGTGTTAGCTATGGTCGGATCCGACTCTATGGTACAACAATGGCTAAGTCCTACCGAATGAATGAGCCTCCAGAATGGCTCAACTGTCTATTCTCCCACCAGCACGGCTGCTCTGATTAGCATGACAATATCTTCATATGTGGTCATAGGATTAGAGATTTATTTTTTCTTTAAATTGCCTGTGTTATGTTTTTTACATTCTTCCTTTCATGAACTGCAACATGATTCCCCATCTCCTGGGCGTGGAATAGACGTACCAAGTTAAGGAAGTTCCTTTCTGTTCCTAGCTTGCAAAGAACTTTTATCATTGATTGGTTCCATGCTTGATAAGACTGTTTTCTTAAGTCAATTGTGAAAAAAATCATATGAGTTTTCTTTTTTAGGCTCCAGATGGGATGAAATTGATAGATGAAGGTAAAAGGGGGGAAAAAAGATCAGGTAAGAGGAGCAGAGACAGATGACTGCATGCCCTAAAAGATTAGCCATGCAGAAGGGAACTAGGGTCAGTACACTGTAAAGGTGGATGGGCATTTGGGCTCGGGGCTCGGAGGCAGCAGGTAGGGATGGTGGCAGAGATGACAGAAGTGCACCACCCACATAGATGGATGCTGCAGTGGACTTTAGACAGACAGAAAGGTGGTCTGATTTGGCAATTGGAAGTGACTGGTGACGTTGGGCCTTGAACTGTTGGCATGAAGCTTAAAAAGCAGGTGCTCAGGTGACTCTAACTCATGGAAAACCCAGAGAGGATCTGGGGAGGAGGAAACACTGAGGGTACTCACAGAACCACACTGGGGGACTTTAATGCCTGTCCACACGCACTGTTCACATTCACTTGAAGGCTCTTCACGTTGCAGCAGAACTTAAGGCAGAATGTGAACACCAGGAGCTCTATGTCTGTGTGAACCCACATCCTTGCTCCTTGGAAGTGGGCCATGGCTCGTGTCAGAAATGCCTCGTCTTGGATTTCATATAAACAGTGGAGCACCGCCCAAGAGTATAGCTGGGGCCAGGAATGCTTGTGCCAGACTTCTAGTTCGACCCACTGAAGCAGTTCCCACTTTGCCTTCTTAGACAGCTGGCAGCTGAAGATGCTCTCCAGTTCTCTGGTCCCACGCTCGCTCAGAAGACCGAAGAGGAAGTGTGTGACTGGGGCCCCAAACATGCCATACATTTCATAGGCTTCTTGTAACTTTTTCACACTTTTAATGCTGTCAAGTTTACCACCTTCCTCTTCCTCTTCCAGTGCATAGAAAACTGCTGCCAAGAACTCCTGGAAAAACAGGTGTCTGAAGTGGTACCTCAAAAGGGTGGGATGTTTCTGAAGAACACCTGTCCTTAAGAGAGTGAAGATGACAGCCCCATCTAACCCATATTTCCTGAGCTCCTTTCCACTAAACAGAGTCTTTTCTTGCCAGATGCCCTCAGTGGCCAGACAGCACAAGGCCCTCAGGTGAGTCCCCAGGAGCTGAGCTCGGAGAGCCTGGGACAGGTAGTGCAGGCAGAGGTCCGTAGTGGTCTGTGCGGTCAGGGCTGGGGGCTCCCCCTGCTCCATTTGAAGCTTCAGACAGGTACTCACAAGCCAGGACACCCAGGGTCTGAGACACAGGATTAAGAGGGCATGGTTTGATGCAATGGAGCTGAAGGCCATGACTGCTTGACTTTCATCTGGGAAATATTTGTAGAAGAAGTCTTTCCTGCCAGCCTCAGAGAAGCCCAGCACCTCCACACAACGTGCCTGCCCCAATGAAGGCAGGAGTTTCCCCAGAGCTGTCCTCCGAGCCGTGATTAGCAAGGATGCCTCAGGCAGTGTGGTTTTTTCCAACAAGCTGTTCAGCAGCATGTGCACGGGCTGCTGTTGGCTCCAGTGTAGACACATTTCAGGTGTCTGCCTCTCAAAGACCCATTCTGGCTCATCCAAACCATCTAGGATGAGAAGCAGCTGCCCTGGCTGAGACAGGATCTGTCTGATGGGAGCCAGAGGGTGAGGCCAGTCTTTAGCCAGGAGCTCAACAAGGCTGACCATATTGGACGGAACCAGTTCTTTGCAGTTGAAGTAGAAGACATGACGGAAGCGGTCCCTGTAGAGCTGGCCTTGCTCCCAGGCTCCCCTCACCTGTCTGGCCAATGTCGACTTCCCAATTCCTCCAGCCCCGTGCAGTATGACCGTGTGAGGCTTTTCCTGGGTGCCCAGGTCTGGGCCAAATAGATCTTGGACTTCAATCAAACGCTTTTGCTCCACCATCATCCCATGATCCGTCATCAGAGGCACATGGCCTTTGCTGGGAGGTCTCTCTAGAAGCAACAGCTGTACAAATTTTTGGTACAAAACTTCATTTTTCCAGGACTGAGAATTCTGGTCTCCTGTGGGGCAGGTCTTCTCTCCCTTCTGGTTTTGGTAGTATTCTCTGTTTTCTAGGCAAGGGAGGAGAAGACAGAATATTAAGGCACGGAAGAGATCAGTCCATCAGTTCATTCAACAACTATTTTAGATGCTCACTGTCTATCACCCACTGCTGTTTGTAAACACTGGGGTTTTCTCTCCAGTGGAAAAGATGATCTTTTTTGGGAAATATCTCCATTCAAGTCTCAACTCTCTCAAGTTATACTCCCTATATGACTTTGTGTAAATATTTATCAAGTGCTCACTATGTGCTATAAAGTCTCCCAGAGATTTCCAGTAGGACTGAAACTCAGTTGCTCAAGGAGATAACCTGCTCTGTAAGGCATACTTGTTTGACTCCATTCCCTGCCTCACTTCTCAATGCTCCCACTGGTTTTTCCAGATAATCACCTCTCAAATGACCTAACTGCAATGACATCCTCCCTCAGTGTCTCCTTCTAAGGGACCCAACAGAAGATTGACTTTATAATTATGTATAGTTACAGATGGGAAATTGTGATGGAAACTCTAAAGAGCTGAGCACTTGAAAGAGATTGTCCCTCAGATTGAGACTTAATTGTTCCTCAGAGCAGGGGATCATCTTAATCAAGTCCGAATTATTAGTACAACTCTATTACAGATTGAATGCCATCCCCAAAGGAGTACTGAAATCCTCAACTCCAGTACCTGTAAATGTGGTCTTGTTAGAAGAATCACAGTTTATCAGTTAACACCAGATCCTGTCACAGGAAAATGATCCTCAAACTCATTGCCTCTGAGTTGAAACTGACTCAGATGACCCTCTAGCAGGTTTCTGGGGGTGTAAATCACATAGGAGGAGGTTGTCCATCTTTGGCTGAACAGCTGTGGACTCGTACTGCCAGAGAGGCACGGCTTTGGGCTAGCAGGGCAACCTCCTGCATCACCAGATTTAACTCTCATTACCATCAAGTCAGAACCAATTCATAGCTGACTCTCCAATGAGTTTTAAGAGGCTGTAAATTGCATGGCAGGAGATTGCCCATCTTTCTCTCATAGAGCAGCTGGTGGATTTGAGCTGTGTGTCTTTGGAAGTGCATTTCCTTACCCAGGAGGCCAACAGAGCTCCTATGTATCTGAGTGTTGTTGTTGTTTATGTGTTGTTGAGTCTACCATGACTCATAGCAAGCCTATGAAGAGCAGATCTGAACCTTGCCCGGTTTTATGCCATCTCTGACACACTTGAACCGTTGTTACAGGCACCGTGCAATACATCTTGTTGTGGCTCTTCCTCTCTTATGGTGACTCTCTATTCTTTTGGCAGCTCATGGGATATCCAGCACTCTTCTCCAACACCACAACTCAAAAGCACCAATTCTTCTGTTAGTTTTAGACATGGTCTAACTTTCAGAAGTACAGCAAACAAACTGACATTACTTTTAAGTACTCTAGACTGTTTCCTGACAATAGATTTTCTTAATGCAATACATCTCTTGATTTTTTGATTGCTGATACCCAAGGTATTGATGGTTCTTGGTCATATGCTACTTCCTGAAATGGTTCTGTGTCAGCCAATTCATTTTGGTAAAATGACTTTGTGCATTCCTTCCATTCAAGTGAGAGGAAATTACTGACAATTTTAATCTTTTCTCCATCTATCATGATATTGCCTGTATGTCCAGTGGTGAGGATTTTTATTTTCTTGATGTTGAGATGTAATCCATACTGAAGGCTGTAGTTCTTCCCTACCCACCTCCCCTTGGGTTTCTATTCATTCATTGTTGCACATTTTCCTCTATGCCTCTCCTCCCCCATAGTTCACTTTTTTCCTTGGGGAAAAAAGTTCTTTCATTATTATACAGTCCCCCTCCACTTTCCGGACCACTTTGCTATGTAACTCTTATTCTGGACTCTTGTCATGAAGGCTGTAGTTCTTGATCTTCTGAAACAAATACTTCAAGTCCTCCTCACTTTCAGAGAGCAAGGCTGTGTCATATGCATAATGCAGATTGTTAAGGAATCTTCCTCTGATCCTGATGCTGCATTCTTCTTCATAAAATCCAACATCTGGAATAATTTGTTCAGCATACAAATTAAATAGAGAGAAAACATACAACCCTGATGTACACCATTCTTGATTTTAGACCACGCAATGTTTCCTTGCTCTGTTAGCATACACCCTCTTAATCTATGTATAGATTTTGCATGAGCACAATAAAGTGTTCTGGGATTCCCATTCTTTTCTATCTTAGCCCTAATTTGTTGTTATCTACACAAAGTCAATAGACGGAGATAGACATCCTAGTATTCTCTGCTTTCTGACAAGACCCAATGGCATTAGCAATGATATCCCAGTTGCCATGGACTCTTCTTTTTCTTGTTGTTATTCTTTTTTTAAATTAATTGTAATGAAAGGTTGCAGAGACTTTGGATTTCCATTCATTCATTGTTGCACTTTCCTTCCTGCTCACCTCTCCCCCCAATTCGCTCTTCTCTTTGAAAAGTAAAAGAAAAATTCTTTCATTGTTATACTATCCCTCCCCCCAAGTCCATGCCTTGGCCTCTTCTAAATCCAGCTTGCATTTCTGGCAGTTCTCTGTCGAGATACTGTTCTAGCTAGTTTTGAAAAATCTTCAGCAAGATTTTGCTTGCATGTGGTATTTATGATATTGTTTGATAATGGCCACATTCTGTTTGATCAGTGGTATTTTTGTTTTTTGAGAATGGAAACAAATATAGATCTCTTCCAGTCAGTTGAATAGGTAGTTGTCTTCCATATTTTTGGCACAATCAGGTGAACACATCCAGGGCTGTATCTGTTTGTTGGAATATGTCAGTTGATATTCCCTCAGTTCCTGGAATCTTATTTATTGCCAAAGCCTTCAAGGCAGCTTAAACTTCTTCTTTCATTGCCATAGTGCTTTTAAACAGTTTTTAGAAATGATCTCTTTTATTTGGCAATATGTTAGTTATCTTAGTTATGCAATAACTAATTTTTAGGCAATATTTCATTATCCCAATTGTAATGGCAATGGCAATAAGTATTAACAATACTATCAACTACTCTTTTTACAAATACTTTTTTTGGTGACACTTAATTGCCATTGGTTCTTGATCATATGCTACTTTCTGAAATGGTTCTGTGTCAGTCAATTCATTTTGAATGACTTTGTGCATTCCTTCCATTTTCCCTGGATGCTTCCTGGATCATTCAAGATTTTGACCATGACATTTTTCAGCATTTCAACTTGAGGCTTGAATTTGTTCTTCAGGTCTTTCAGCTTTAGAAATGTTGAGTGAACTCTTCCCTTTTTATTTTTCTGATTCCAGTTCTTTGAACATTTCATTGTAATACTTTGTGTAGTCTTTTCGGGCTGCTCTTTGAACTCTCCTGTTCAACTAGTTTACTTTATCATTTCTTCCCTTTGTTTTGACTTCTTGATGCTCTAGTGGAATTTTAGAGTCTCTTCTGACATCTGTTTTGGTCTTTTTTTCCCTCCTCTGTTGTTAGACATAGCATTGCAGGTAGAGGCCTCAGATTAGAAGACACTAAAAAGTAAAGGAAAACAGCTGCCTATGTCTACTAATAATTGCAATGCAGAGTGTGCAAAGTATGGATTTAGGAAAATTGGGTGTTGTGAAAAATGAAGTGGAAACATAAAGATAGATATGCTAGGTGTTATCAAGCTGAGATGGACTGACATTGGCCAGTTTGAATCAGGCAATGATACTATATGCTACGTCAGGAATGAAAAGATGAGGAAGAATGGAGTTGCATTCATAGTAAAAAAAAATTCCATTTCAAGGTCCATCCTGAATAAAGTATAATGCTGGGAGCAATAGGATCCTATCCATACTATACGTACTAGGGAGACTGTTAATACAACTATTATTCAAATATACACACCAACAACCAAAGTCAAAGATGAGGAAATTGAGGCTTTCTACCAACTTTTATAGTCAGAAACCGAATAAATATGCAATCAAGATTCATTAATAATGACTGGTGATGGGAATGCAAAAAATTAGGAACAAGAAAGAAGGACTGGTAAACAGAAATTACAGACTTGGTAATAGAAGTGAGACTAGAGACTGAAAGACTGAATTTTGTACAATCAATGATATGTTGTTGTTCTTGATTGCCATCGAGTCGAGTACGACTCATAGCGACCTATGAACAAAAGGCCTGAAACCTTTCTATAACTATTGATATTTATCAAAGTTCATAGAGTTTCCGGAGGCATGCTGTTTAGGAAGTGGAAGTCAGTCCAGCTTCCAAAATCAACAATATAGTTGTGGCAAATGCTTTTTAAAAAAAAACACAAATGGCAATTATACACAGGGATCTCACTTGATACAGAAATCAGATTGACTATATTTGTAGAAAGAATCATTGGAGAAGCTTACTATCAGTGGTCAGAATGACACTAGTTGCTGACTGTGGAACAGACCAACTACTTATATGCAAGTTCAAACAGAAGGTGAAGAAAATTAAAGCAAATTCACAAACCCCAAAACATGACCTTGAGTCTATCCCACCTGAATTTAAAAACCATCTCTAGAAAAGGTTTGAGCCATTAAATTATTGAAGGCTAGATAAGCTGTATGATGATATCAAGAACATTATCCATAAAGAAAGAAAAAACGTAGTTGTGGTTGTTAGGTGCATTGAGTCGATTGTAACTCATGGTGACTCTGTGACCAGTGGATCTGAACGTTGCTCTGTCCTGAAGACACACACCATTTTCCTGGGATCCAAAAGCCCAGTTCATCTTGAGAGAACAGCTGGGCCTCCATCATTCTTGCATGTTGCCAGTCTCCTGTTGTATCATTTTTGGCAGCTGGAATCTGGGGTGTCGTCTTCAGATCACTTTGTGCCTTTGGCACTGGGTAAGATGGGTGTTAGAAAGGCACCCTCACTCTTGAAATGGTAATTTAGAGATATTCTTTATCCTCTTCTGTGGGAATATTTCTTGCAGGGTGAAAAATCTTTCTAAGAGCAGCTGGATGACCACTTTGGGTCAATGGCATGACCTGACCTGCTAAGGGTCGT